GTGGCTTCAGAAGGACATTTCTGCTCATGAAGAGTGCTGTGTCGTGCACTGGGCTAGAGCCCATAGACTTTCTTGTAAAACAAAGATCATTCTCAGTTTCCAAAATCAACACTCTCTCCACCCACCCCCAAGCCTTTTAGCACTTGATTAGTTGGAAAAACCAATGTTAGTTTAAATGAAACGCAATCTGCAGGGCATTGTAATTCACGGAGCCACTGCCCTCCCCCAGGGTGACCGAGCTGACTGGGTACGAGCCACAGGACCTGATAGAGAAGACCCTGTACCATCACGTGCACGGCTGCGACGTCTTCCACCTGCGATATGCGCACCACCTCTGTGAGTACTGTGCTCACCCTGGCCAGGAGCCCTGGCAGCCTGGGAGGGAGCGCCGAGGACAGAGTGGGGGCAGCGTCCCTTGTTTGATGCAATAACTACCCATCGTGTACCCACGAATCTTAAACATCAAGCCTGTCTCCAGGTAGCCCTTGCTTTCAGCACAGGCACTCACTGTCACTTCTCAACTATCCAGTGAAACCCTGGCGGGTGTGGGATGATGTGGAAGTTGCTGGATTCTATTCAATAGATTATGGATTTGGAACCTAAATTTCTGTATGACGTCTCGATAGCAGTTGTGGATAATGTCAACAGCAGTAGAAGAACTGATACTTACAGGGCCCTTACTAATGTCTGGCACTTGTTTGTTTAAGTGATTAAATCCATTACCAACCAAGTGAGGGAGGTTCTCATGCTCATGATCCTCCCTTTGCTGTTGAGGATGCTGAGGTTCAGAGAGGTTAAGCCACTTGCCTATGGTCACACAGCAAGGAGGCGTCATAGCTGGGAGCTGAATCCAGTGAATTCGGCCTCCAACCGCTGTCCATCATCGGTTGGGAAGCTCAGGGAGACCACAGGTTTCTAGGATGGGAGAAGTCCACGTAGAAAGAGAAAACCAACAGTATTCCACTTGTCAACAGAGGAAGTTTGGGGAACATCTGGATGCAAGGGTGGGGGTGCTCGTCACTGAAATGGTGAAAGAAGTAACACTTTTCTCGTAGAACCAAATCGAAGCAGCAAATAACTGGGATGGGGTAGAATACCTCATCTTCCCGCCGTCCAGCCCCGCCATGCTAATGGCTGGTCCAGGGGTGCTTGTTAACGGGGTACGGGGGGCTTCAATGTGGCCCGGGTGGCACGTCCTCCTTCTTGCTGTGTGTTGACTAAGAGGCATCAGAGGACAAGATGCTGGTGTTGGTTGCAGCTGGGCGACGGGTCCCAGGGCTGCTCGGTCCTCGGCCACGCCATCTGCCTGGCCGTTTTGTGGCGACTGGGACTCAGGCAGCCCGGCAGCTACTAGGGTATGGCTCTCCTTCCAAGTCACTAAGGGCAGAAACCCGTGACACCCGGGAGGCTGGCTGGGCGGACGCCATCAGCTTTCTCCTGCTCCTTGTAATTCACAACAGCATGGAAAAGCCCCCGTGCACGGAAATATGTGCAGCTGTGAGAAGCTTTTTATGTCTTTTTTTAAAAAAATGGCCAAATCATGATCTCATGTAAGCCTCCCTGACCTTCTCGAAGCCCCGCTTGGTAGGAAGCAGCTGCCTAGTGTTTAGAAGGGCTCCGTAGGTCAGGTCACTGATATGGGAGCTAGAAATCTTCCTTGTGTAAACGGCGTAGGAAGTGTGAATTACAGAATTAGGTCTTCGGGAGACCTGAAAGGCAGGGCGGGCGGTAGAGGGGAGCTGCTGGGAACCTGTGCTCTGGAGTAAGGGGGGTGGAAGAGGCACCTGCTGGAGGCTGTGCACCACGGAACAGTCTAGAGGGAAGGACAGGCGGTGGCGGGGCGCGGGCAGGGGAGCAAATGGGAGGGTTCACAGCTCCACACCTCCCTGCCACTGTCAGGGTGTCCGAGGAAAAGCCCCAGCCCTGGGGGTCCCAGCCCCGTCCCCTGAGGCAGGAGCACCGTGAGCCTCTCCCTCCAGCACAGAAGTTGAAAGCAAACCCTTGAATTACACGAAGGGAGAGTTATTTTTCAAAGCAGGGCTGCAGCGTGGGAAAGTAGCCTGTAAGCGCAGAGAAAGGAAGCTCACGGAACTAGTCTTTGTTTCAAATACCATTTTTCATCTCTCACATTGCGTGGCTAACAGAGGAGCACAGGGTGTTTCAGGGGGAACAAATTCAGCTTGTATTTTGGAAACGTAATGAAGGCCGTGGTGGTGGCCAGTGGGAGGCTCACGTGTCCCCGACATGGACCAGATGCTTTTTGCACAGGAACCAGAGGGGAGCTGGGCCGGGTGGGCCAGGTGAGGCTGGGAGGTGGAGAGGCCTGTCTGTGGGTGGGACAGGCCTTTGGGTGCTCAGGCCTTCAGTGGTCCTGACCACACGATGGGTCTTCAACTTGTCCACCAGAGGCCCCCGTCTTCCTGAGCTCATCTGACTTCCCAAACCTACCCACGGGGTTTATTGGAGAGGTCTCCTGCGATTTACGTGATGAATTCGCCTCACTTCATTTGGAATTGGGATTTCCAGACTTTGCGATTATAGAAAGGTCCCTGAGAGGGAAGGTGCAAACGGGCTTCCAAGGGACACGCAGAAAAGGCGGAGGGTTTACACACCAGAGGGAGCACGGCTTTGCCAAATGAGTTAGAATTGGTGAATCAAAGAAAACAGAAAATAGCAGTCTTGGCGATGATTGCTACTGTGCTGTGACTCTGACCTTCACTGTGGCCGAGAAACCACCGCAGGGGCAGCAGGTGCAGAGCACAGGGCAGCGAGGCCAGGGGACAGCGGCTGTGGCCTCGGATCCCACCCATCTCCCCTCCACCAGCTTCCCTGCCCCCCCACCCCATGTCAACGAAAGCCGAGTGACAGCCGGAAACAGCCGAGACCTCTACCCATACGTCGGGTGGGAGTGGGTCTCCCGGAGCTCAGCCTCGGCTCCAGCCTTGGAACCGTCTCCAGACGTCCCTCAGGGCAGCCGACACGCTTCCCAGAACGTTACTTCCCCTCCAGAGCTGCAGGAGGAAAGGGAAGACAGTCTGCAACCGGGGCAGGTGTTTGGAGGTGGGTCTTCAGGGCGTGCTGTTCGGGAGATTTTGAAATCTCTGTCCGGTGGTCCCTGCGGCCTCACTCTCCTTCCCGGGCTTCCCGTTCCGGCCTCTCCAGCCCCAGGGCTGCTTGGCATCTGTTTAATTTCCTTAAAAAACAGGAGCTGAGTCTGAGGTTCAAGGGCAGTAGTTTATTTGGACAGTGGCTGAAGCAGGGGCAGTGAATGGGAAGCGAGGTGCGGAAGGGAGGGAGCCATCGAAGGGGCGTGTCCGGCAGCTGCTGCCACAGGCCACCGGCCCTCAATCCCCCGGGCACCCTAGGAGGCCAGGCAGGACACCTGCCTCAGCTGTGGCACTGAGGCGAGAGGGAGTGGGGGTATTTATACACTCCAGGCATTGGCTGAGGCTGCTCTTGGTGTGTTGTACCCCTTATCTGCCAGGGGCTCAGCCAAAAAACAGCCTCGGGGGGAAGTGGGGCCTCAGGGTGGAGATGGGGCCCCAGGGTGGAGATGGGGCCTCAGGGGGGGAGGTGGGGCCTCAGGGGGGAGCTGGGGACTCAGGGTGGAGATGGGGCCCCAGGGTGGAGATGGGGCCTCAGGGGGGGAGGTGGGGCCTCAGGGGGGAGCTGGGGACTCAGGGTGGAGATGGGGCCCCAGGGGGGAGG